TCACTAGCATTCAACTTTGCAATGATCGTTTCGATGTCGTATGCACCGCGTGGTATCGTGATCTCTTGAATCGTAGCGCCAGCATTGATTAGCACCACTTGATCAGTCGGCACGTTGTGCAACACGAAGTCCGTATACAACGACACAGACGAGATGTAGCACTGGTCGAACGAGAGAGGATTGTCCAGCTTCACTTCCTTCTTGGTGGTATTACCGAACACTTCGATCATGGAGAACTGGTTTGCAGAGGCAATCGATGAAGGCACTTCATCATACACGTCATCAATCGTCAATTGGAGTTCGAATTCGCCGTTCAGTCGCATCATCTTGCCATCCATATCGCGGAAGACGAACATCAATTGATCAAACCGAGTGATCATTGGAATGCACACGTCTTCCACAGTTCGCACGTAGTCAGCCGTTGGATCGTCAATGATCATCGTGGTGAGCAGGTTATTGTTCTGGTTGGCAATCTTCAGCTCCGATGATCGCACGATCGTCGAGTAGACCTGAATCACTTGGCGATTTCGCGTGATATCAATCACGTTCGATCCACTGAACGAAGCAGGTAGAATGACCGTTCGTCCATCGAAGCCGAGGATCTCACGAATGTCAGGTGCATCTGTAAAGTCAATGGTGTGTGGAGACTGAATCCAGATACAACCGAACGACGAGGCATTCATGGATATGGAGAATGTAGTATCGGTCATCATATTGAGCAAGGCAATGATCTCACTGATCGTGTAATAACCAGCAGGGATTGTCACAGTCTCGTCATTCGAAATCGTGACAATGTTCGTCGTGTCCACGTTGTTGAACATAGTCCCATTAGGACGAAACAGGACAGTCATGGAAGTGATGTAAGGATCCTTGTACTTGTAGGGGTTGATCCAGGTGAATGAGCCATTGGTAGGTGAGCCTTGAATAAGCATGGAGTAGTGCATGGTCTTTCTCTCTTTACCATTATATAAAGGGCAGACAATTACCACATTGGAAGAAAATGGCCGAAAAGGTTTTCGCGCTTTATGCGTCGTGGTACTCGAGGTAGGCAAGCAGACAATGGTCAAAAAGGCAGCCAGGAATAAAAAAGGAGGCCTGGAATAAAAATGGCCGAAAAAGGGCCGAAAAAATTTTCGCGCTTTATGCGCCATTTCCCTACTACTCATATCAATACCTCGGATCACAAAGGAACTATAACTGAAATTGTCTGAGCATTTTCCAATTATACCAATTTGAATGGATTGTAATTGTGGTAGATTCTTCAATTCAAAATCGCCAGCAAAATCACTGAAACTATTTTTACCAATTTGAATGGATTCCAATGATTCACAATTCAATATGTGGAATGATTTCGATTCATCATAATCCTCTTCATTCTTTCTCTGAGTGAATGAATTGCTTCCGATTTTGATAGTTTTCAATCGATTCAATCCATCGATTTTGAATGCTTGTACTGATTCAAAACAATCATTGCCGATTTTGATTGATTCCAAATTATACAACAATGAAACATCCCAATCAACCAATACACAATTGTCAGTCAGTTTCAAATGTTTCATTCCGATATTCAATGGTTTGCTTCCATCGCCTTCATATTCTTCATCAATATCACATTCAATTCCATTGCACCATTCACATTCGTTCACTAATTTACCATATCGATCATACACTTTTCCACTTCCAAATCGATTATCATCACACCAATATCCTTCATATTCAATACATCCATTATTATGATAACTCGTTCCATATCCAAATCGTTTCCAATTGATCATTATGCCCTTGTACACCAATATTCCATCATCATCATACATTTCACCATATCCAAATGGAATTCCCAACTTGTTTTCTGTCAATACCAATCCTTCAAATCGACTTCCATGATCCAAATCCACGATTCCTTCTACTACTTCTATGGATTGTTCTTCATTATATGAAATAGCACCAATTTGATGATTTCCAAACACTTTCAACACTTTCTGCTCATTAAGGACAAATCCTTGATTCATGAATATTTCATTATCGAATTGCAATACTACACATTCTCCATTACTCAATATAAGTGAAATCCAGCCATCTAGTTTCATTGCTTTATCCAAGCATGCCTGAACAATTTGAATGATAGAACTGTCTACTTGACAGTTATTAGTAGCAGTGTTGACAAAATCAGCAATGTTTTGCATCGAAATATGGACTATTTTTAATCTATGGTTATCACCATTCTTTTTTTATTCTTTATGGACGGGATACTCATTTTTATTCATTATCACAATTATTTTACTTTTATTCTGTTGTGCAATGAAGAGAATACGTTAAAAGATTGTATTCCTTCATCCCTTTGATTTTCATAGTATTTCGATAAATTCGCTGCTTTTATGCACTATACATCTATATACTCAGCTCAGAAGCCATACATTTGACTTTCTTACGTTTTTGTCATTTCTTGTTCAGACAATTATCCTTGCAGTTAAAAATGAGGACTTTCTCACGCATTATATTGATACTAAGTAGAATGTACCATTTCTGTGCAATTCACTTCAGAAAGCAAGTACCAATAGTGTATTTTGTTTTTAGCACATTATCATAAATATAACTATTTAGATTTAATAGAATGAGATATTCAGTATTGTTGATTGGGACTATTGGTGTGAAGGGATTGATTCTCTTTTGACACGATTGCTCGTTAATCTAGAATCATCAACATTATTGTAATAATAATGATGTTATTGTGGAATATGGAAGATTGTATAGTGAGTCAAAACCAAAATGCAAATTAGGGCAGAAAAGCAAACATATCACTTCATTTTGTGCTTGATGTTATCTGAGTATATTTTGAATGGATGAATGACCAGTATTTCTTACACATAACTAACATAGTATTGTGAATGGCATTGTGATTCTTCTCTATTATTGTGATTATTATATCTAAACAAAGTGAATTGAACACCTATCTATCCAATCGCTTCCTCTCATTCTCCAATAAAGAATGCACAGTTTATCAAACAAACATCCAAATTACTCTTCGAACTAAACCATTCAGGTATCAGCTCAGGAAGCCAAGCTGCTTCAATCGCTGTTACTCCTCTAAAGTATTCCTTTGTCGTGTACACAAGCTCCTGCTCCGTTAAGGACAGCCCTCCTTCTCTCTATTTGGATATGGTATAAACAATCGCATCAGGGTATGGTTTCCTCTGAAAAAGAACGGAGGCTGGATGGATGGCTGCCGTTTTGTGACCTATAATGGTTTGATATTCACACCGACTGTTCTTCACAACCTCCTTCACTCGATTCGCAACCTGCACGAACATCCCAGCAGCCAAACAACGCCGAACCTGATCGAATTCCCCTTCGCAGCTCTAATCAACGAAATCACAACGCAGGTTACGATTTCTTCAATTCCAATTTTCTGGCAATAGCCAACGAGTTGCTTGCGAATTTCCACAGCAGTCTTCATCGAGCGAGAATTGATATAGTTATCATGACACCACTGAACATTCCCTTTTTCCTCTCTATTGTTGATATGTCCAAATGGGTGACTACCGATAGGCATGGAAGACATTCAAATAAGTCAAATGATCTCCATACACGGAAGCGAATCGTTTGTGCGACACGTTGGCTTTCTCTCGCTCCTCGCGTGGAGAATAAAAGACGTTTTCCACAGACAGAATCGACACGATATCCAGAATCTTTCTATCATTCATCCATTTCCGCATCTACCTCAGCCGAACAGTGGTATTCTTTGCTCAGAATCAGCAGGCGGGAGTATAGCGGATCTAAAGGAAGCAGCGCCATTTCTCTCCCCAGCTTGGTCAGCGATCCCTACATCCAAACCAGACCTCTTCATTACAGATCGGCGATCCAGAGCCCCCAAGAGAAGCAGCTGCTCCAACGATCGTTTGAGCGAATCGCGCGAAGGAGCTTGCAGATAGTGGAACCCCAAAACGTCCTCGATCCCCATCGTTTTCAGCTATGTTCCATTCAATAACCCACGACACACCTGAAGAATCATGCTGCTCAAATTGCATCGCTGAATTTCGGGCACTGCGTCTTCAGGAAGAGCGAGAAACGCGTCTTCAGGAAACAATCGAAAGCACTGCGTCTCATCGCTTGATCAAATCTACCTTCCCAGCACTTTCACGACCCGCTCGTCCCGATCGTTGCCACGCATGTGACTTCGAAACGGGCGTGACGAGAAGCGATTCGAGTCCGGTGGTCGTTTGAGACACGCGGATTTTGATCATTCCGCTGTCCACGACATATTTGATGCCTTGGATTGTCACCGACGATTCCGCGATGTTCGTAGACAGAATCACTTTGCGCGAATCGGGAGGCGTGGGAGTAAACACGGCCAATTGTTGTTCGGGAGGCAAGGCTGCGTAGAGTGGATAAATCAGAAGCGATTTGGCGTCTTTCGGGAAGAGAGGAAGCTTTTCTTCCAGCATTTCTGCCAGTGATTCAATTTCTTCTTGACCGGTGAGAAACACGAGAATATCGCCAGTGGGAAGATCTAAATGGATCTGAAAGAATGAGAAGAAGAGAATGAATGAGTACTTGGAGAATGGCGATTAAAGCAGCTTCTAAATAGTCTGGTTCGGGTGTGGGTGTGTAACTATCGTTTATTTCATTCCAAACAAAGACTAGATCTCAACGGGGAAAGTGCGGCCTTTGATTTGAATGATGTGGTTTGGGAAATTCGATCCAGAGTGGTTTGGATAAAAGAAATTTTCGAATAGTTCGCATTGAATGGTGGCACTCATCACGATCAAACGGATTTTTCGGCTTTGCTGTACATAGCGGATGAAAGAGCACAGAATTTCGGTTTGAAGGGATCGTTCGTGTGCCTCATCGAGGATCAGCACACTATATCTAAAATTTTAGTTTTTCTGGTTGAATGCTTACTGGGATAATTCACGGTCCAGCATGGCTTCACGAAGGAGCATTCCATCTGTTAGGAACTTGATACAAGTGTTCATTGAGGTGCATTCATCGAATCGAGCAATTTAGCCAACTCCATCTCCAAGTTCTGTTCCTCTTTCTTCAGCAACTCGCTTGGCTACAGTGATGGCAGCCACACGACGCGGTTGAGTAATTCCAATAACACCATCACTATATATAATCGAAAATAAATGCATTTACTTAAAATAACCAGATTCTAGCAGGTATTGGGCAATTTGAGTTGTTTTTCCACTTCCTGTTTCTCCAACAATAATTGTAGTGGGATTATTCTTTACTGATTCAATAATGTCTTTCCGATAGGCAAACACAGGAAGGCTTTTTCTCTCTGCTTCCAACTAGAATGAATGCTTACTATAATCCATACATTTTTCCTATTTACCCTCTTCGAAGGCATAGAAGTGTTTCTAGTGTAATTATCAAATATTACCTCTTTTGCTTTCTTCATTATGCTCCTTAGTAATAGGGAATACGAAAGAAATAAAGGAGTAGTTCAAATGAAAGAAAAGTGTGAACATTGAGTTGGAAAAACATTGATTGCGATTATTACTAGCCTCTTATTGATGTAGTTGTGTAAGATTCAAAGGAGTTTACCCATTTATGTGAACAGTAGAGAGTATTGTGTTGTTTTAAATTGAAGGATTGGTAAAGTATGGATATTCCAAATTCTATGTCATAGAGCATTGTAATTAAAGTGTTATTGAGGAATCGAAACAGTCCAACCCATGTTTGATTGTGCTTAGTTTCAACAGAGAGCATCGATCTTTCACACCACATTTTTGTTAGTTTATAAACAAACAAACAATCAATATCACATCACATTACATCACATCACGTCACTTAGTTCACGCAAATCTGCTTCTTCTGGGCGCTTTCTTCCTTTTTGGGAATCACTACCTTCAGAACTCCATTTTCATACATCGCGTTAATACCATCCACGTTCGCATTCTTCGGCAGAGATACTTCACGATGGAAAGAACCGAAATGGCGCTCACAGAAATGGCACTTGTCCTTCTCTTCCTTCTTCTCGCTCTTTCTCTCTCCTTCAATCACAAGTCCATTATCTTCAACATGCATCTTGATTTCACTCTTGTCCATTCCAGGCAGATCCACACTCATTTCATACTCCTTCTCGTTCTCTTTCATGTCCATTCGGCCAAATCCACTGAACGGAGTAATCACATCACGACGAATTCCATCACCGAACCAAGAATCCAAGTCATGCTGCTTGGGGAAGGTCGAAACCAGGAGATCATCAAAGTTATCAAAGAAAGGATCACGGAATATAATGCTCATTATCACTGTTACTAACTTAGTTCTATCAAATAAATAAATTATGAAAAGTTAGGAAACGATTCCAAAAGATCCAGAATTCTATCGAACATTCCGGAATAAATAGGAAAGCAAAAGATGTGTCGATTTTATAAATATATGAAATATGGGGAATCATTTGCAACATGTATGAGAAGTCTAGGCCACCAAACAATCGATCACCAAATTCGCACCTTCTTCCAGTACATATATGGATATGTATAACTAGTCATTTTGAATTTATCCGCATAGGTAATATTACCAAAAAAACGATGACTTCCATTTCCATTCACTCTTTCTTATTTACTACCTTCCAATATAGAACAATTCTGTATTTGCCGATTATGCACATAGAAAATCTTTGATTTGTTAGTGTTTGCACAACCTTGTTTCTTTTTTCAATTCGTGCGTTTTCTTAAGCTCTAACTCTTCTTCATGACAAGGAATATGGCTTTCCAGACTTTTAGCCATTTTCTCACTCACATGTTCATTTTGTTTGTAATATTTCCAACAAACATAAAACTACCTTATTATACCACAGTTCTTGATGGATTCGCTATGTTCCCAGCAAAGGTTCCATAATGATACCCTTTTGCGTGTTCCACATCAGAATCAATCTTTCCTAACTCCCATATCGTGCAACAAGGTTTTCTTTCCAAACAAACACTCATTACTTCCTTCCCCTATACGAAGCGGTCTTTTCAAACTTGCTAACGAAAAAGCCGATCGAATTACACTTCTCCGTCATATTATACCGCTGCACCATCCTACACTCCATCTCCCCTTTCTCTCAACACCCACTCGCATTGCTCTCTGCTCAACCCACAATTCTCCAGCCCTGCCTTCCCAAATCTCCATTCCGCCTCAATCGGCACCAACCGCATCGGAAACTCCCTCACAATAAACGCCACGTTCTCTTCATTCTCCATCGGGTCGATCGTGCCTTGCCCTCACTCTCCCCCTTCTCTCCTACACGTGCTGTACACCAGCGTTCCCCCCACACGCAGCAGCTGCACCGCCACTTCGATAAACTGGCGCTGGTAGTTTCGATACCCCATCAAATCATTCATCGTCACTTCGTGCAATAACCGCGGGCGGAGACCCAAAGCCGAACACGGAGGGTCCAGCAGCACACGATCGAAGATTTCCCGCGGGTAGCCGGGGAGCTTCGCACTCCCCGCGATTATCCCGGCGAGAAGAAGGTGCTGGAGGGGCAACGGAATCGCGAGGGAAAGCGTGGAATCGAGAAGGCGTTTCTCCTGCTGGTTGTGTTCCGCTTTCTGAGAGTGACACAATTCCTAGACACTCGCTTGCTTCTGTTTGCGACTGTTAAGATAGCGTTCGATGATTCGCTCGGGAAGAACCGCGGGAATCGCAGACTCCTTCTCGACGGATGAAACGCTCGCATTACCCTGTTTTTGCTCCCTTTGTTTTTGTTTTCGCTCTTTCTGTTTCATGATGCGGCGGAGTTTCTTCTCGAACGATTTACTCTCCAATGGCGAAACGGCCGCGTCGTTCCCCGCGGGAATGCGATAATCCGCTCCCTCTCTATAGAGTTTCTGCTCTTCTTCTTCACTCATCACGCCCTATCATCAACCCTGATCCTCAAATCCGCACTTTGGTCATATCGAGATAGCGGATTTGAAGGCTTTGATATCCGAATTTTTGTTTGATAGCGAGAAGATTGTCGATGGCTTTCTTTCGGCTTCGATCCATTCCTAAAACCAGCCCTTTGTCCTGCATCAGCATGCATAAATGGGACCATTTGTTCCCAGGAGCAGCGCAGCAATCGAGAATGGCTTCGTTGAATGGGATGAAGGCAAACAAGATGGGGGGAGGGTGGGGAAATAATGATGAAACAAATACCTTGCATCTCTTCCAAGCAAGAATAGCATTCGGTTTTGTTATTCCAAGTGGGATGTTTGATCATCCTGACCCATTCCCTGCATTTCCAACTCCAAAATCGACTTTATCTTTGTACAAATCACACTACCAACATCAATCATTCTTTCATTTCCTGTGTTTTTTTTCTTTCCAACAAACACTTCAGTATTCATATTGTTGTTATACGATGATTATTACTACGACTACACCTTCTTTCCTTCTTTATTCCTTCCCTGTTCCTTCGCTCGTTCGCTTAAGCGGACACATCAAAGTCCATGATGACATCGTCGAGCGCGAGGTTCTGTCCGGGCTTGAAGTAGACCTTCTTGACGACGCAGGCCTTCTGCGCGTAGAGCTCGTTCTGCATCTTCATGGCCTCGACGACGGCGAGAGGCTGTCCGGCCTCGACGCGATCGCCCTCCTTGACGTGGACCTTGACGAGGGATCCGGCCATGGGGGAGGCGAGGAACTTGCTGGTGTCGGGCTGCACCTTGGGGATCATGAACTTGCTCAGCTCCTGGGCGCGCGCGCTGCGGAGCACCACGTCGAAGTTTCCTCCGCAGTACTGCATGCTGTATCCCTCGGTGGTGGGCTCGAAGTACTGCACCTTCACGTCCACGCCGTCCACCTTCGCGCTCACGATCGGACGGTCGCTCTCCAGACCCGCGTCCTCCACCTTCACCTTCTTTCCGTCGATCTCCAGCGTCATCGCCTCGCCCTCGAACTCCATGTGCACCTTGTACTCCTTCTCGCCCACCGTCGCCACCAGGTCCTTCTCACACACCGGCTCGTACGACTCCATCTGCTGGTCGTTCGTCGCCTCCTTCGCCAGACGCTCCTGGTGCACCGCGATCGTCGCCGCGATCAGCTGCTCCGCCTCCGTCTCCGTCAGGTGCGAGCCCGTCCAGCCGTCAGGGTACTCCTCCTTGATGAAGTTCGTCGTGATCTTCCCCGAGCCGAAGCGCTTCGACCGGATCACGTCCTGCAGGAACGCAGAGTTGTGGTTCAGGCCGCGGATGATGTACGTGTTCAGCGCCTCGTCCATGCGCTTGATCGCCGTCGCGCGGTCGTCGCCCCACGTCACCAGCTTGCAGATCATCGGGTCGTAGTACATCGAGATCTGCGATCCGTCCAGGATGCCCGAATCGCATCGCACGAACTCGCCGCGCGGCTCGATGTACTTCGTCAGCAGACCCAGCGACGGCAGGAAGTTCCGGCGCGGGTCCTCCGCGTACACGCGCGCCTCGATCGCGTGCGCGTACCGCTTCAGCGGCCAGTTGATCAGACGGTCCGGCAGCTTGCGGCCCGCGGCGATCCAGAACATCTGCTCCACGATATCCTCGCGCGTCACCATCTCCGTGATCGGGTGCTCCACCTGCAGACGCGTGTTCATCTCCAGGAAGTAGAAGTTCTTGTGCTTGTCGCACAGGAACTCCACCGTGCCCGCGGAGCAGTAGTTCACCGCCTTCGCCATCATGCACGCCTGCTTGCCCATCGCCGTGCGCGTCTCCTCGTCCAGCAGCACCGACGGAGACTCCTCGATCACCTTCTGGTTGCGACGCTGGATCGAGCACTCGCGCTCGGGGAACGCGCAGTAGTTACCGAACTTGTCGCCCAGCACCTGGATCTCGATGTGGCGCGGCTCCTCGATGTACTTCTCGATGAACATGCGGTCATCGCCGAACGCAGACTTCGCCTCCTGCTTCGACAGGTGGAATCCAGACAGCGCCTCCTTGTCGTTCCAAGCGATACGCATTCCCTTGCCACCGCCTCCGGCCGACGCCTTGATCATCACAGGGTAACCGATGTCGTTCGCAATGCGCAGAACCTCCTCGTCCGAGTTGATTTCGCCGTTGAAACCAGGAATCGTGTTCACCTTCGCCTTCACGGCCAGGATCTTCGAACCGATCTTATCTCCCATAGCCTCAATCGCATATTTGCCAGGACCGCACCAGATAATTCCCTCCTTCTCCAGAGTCTCCGCGAAACGCCAGTTCTCAGAAAGGAAACCATAACCAGGGTGCACAGCGTCAGCTCCAGTCTTACGGCAAGCCTCAACGATCTTATCAGCCACCAAGTAACTCTGGGCAGACGGAGAAGGACCAATGTAAACAGCCTCATCAGCCATCTTCACGTGCTTGGCGTTGCGATCAGCGTCCGAGTACACAGCCACCGTCTTGATACCCATGCGCTTAGCGGTCTTGAACACACGGCAAGCAATCTCTCCACGGTTAGCTACCAGGATCTTCTTGAACGGAAGCTCGCCTACGCACTCAATCCACCTCAAAATTCCCTACCTTCAGTCGCAAAACTTCTGGCAAGTTTAGAAACCTAGACTCTCACAAAACGTCACCAAACCCCTACACCACGAATTCCAGAGAAGGAACGTCCGAACATTTTGTTCTCTACCTTGAACGAAATGAATCTCTGAGTTTATTCACCAACTGGAGAAATAGGGAATCATTTGGGCGTTTCATCGCTTTCCACCATTCTCAATTTACACTATTCGCCATTCCAACAAACACCAATTATTAGTTATCGCACAGCTCTACTTGATTTGTGTTTGGATAATATGTTACAAAACGGCCTTCGCTGAAAGTCCCGGGAAACACGACTTTACAACCACTCTCTTCAATAATGGATTGCTCGGAGGATGTTGAAAGAAGTAACTAGGGTGAAATCGAAGCAAATAAGAGAAACGAGGTGGGGGAGTGGAAAGAGACGTAGAAAAGGAGAAAGTGAGTGGAGAATAGGTCCTGAAGGAATAAGGTGACGTTGAGAAAGAATGGTTTTTGCGAGTTGTTGAACTAAGTGGTGGTCTTGAGAAGTGAGGTTATTGATGGATTCTCTTGTTATATGACTTAAGTCGTCTCGCAACACACACAATTCTTTCCTTCCTAGACGAATTCGGCTTGGATTGCTTGTGAAATGAATATTTTCTGGATGTTCGTGGAATACTTCTTGAATTGGGTGTGAAAAGAACTGAGGAATCTACAGCATTGAATCTGCAAAGTGCGTTGTACTGGTTCTCTTGGAAACAGCCCATTCGCCCCTACATCGCGCGTGCCTGGAACAAAAATGAAGTGTGCGTGTTCCACGAGGCGAGGAAACGACGCGATTAGTTCTGCTAGGGATGTAAACAGACGGAGGAGTCTGCGAATTCCCGCGGAATCCACGGAGAAGTTGGAGGACACGAAATCCCCGCAGAACAGAAAGGAAGGCGGCAACGAATCGTCCGCGTGTTTGGTGAAGAGTTCTTTGAGCCGATCGAAGACATCCGATCGATCCAGAAACACATCGGAGAGGATGAGAAGGGATGGAGATTCGATTCGTTTGTCGATGGATGATTCATTCCCGCGGTTATTTCCATTCTCTTTTTCCACTCCATTCCCCATTTCAATTTCCATTCGATGCTCCATTTCATTATCATTGTCATTGTCATTGTCATTGTCATTGTCATTTTCACGCTCGTGGAGTCGCGTCACGCTCACTGCGCGCGGTTCTATCGGCGGTTGTTCCATCGACTAGATTTCACTTCGCGTTTGCATCTACTTCCACGCAAAACACAGAGCCGTTCATGATTCCCTCCGCCATCACAAACATTCCCTCCCCAAAAAAACCATCGCCGAAACTCTACAGAGAAACGCAGAAGGGCTCGCTACTGTCTGGGAGAGGTCCAGCGGAATGCTGGTGTTCAGCTCGTTCAAAACGTAGTGTGTTGGATTGAGAGGATTGCGAGATAACACTCCAAACAGGCGAACGAAGTCCTGCGTCAGGGAAGAGTCGCCTCGAATGCTGTCGAAGCTGCTCAGCTCGATGGAGCGGGACTTGTTATGGAGAATCAGATACTTCATCAAAGAATATCTAGGCGTAATGGGTAACACAAAACCTGTACTCTTCGCGATAGGACTGGACTCGTAATGAGGGGTCGTAGAGATAATTTGAATCGTTGCACTTGGTGGAAAAATGATATCCGGAGTCGAAATGAAGTAAGGGAGTATCGAAAGCTCCATAAACAGTGACAATTTGCGTCTTCTTTGGAGTGCTTTCCGACTTGTTTAGTATGCTGTCGATCGTTTCTGCAGTTACCACACTTCCTATCAAATTACCGTATTTGCTGCACACAATACCATTTTTACATATCTTTGCAATTTCACTACTCAAATAATTCAATTCTCTTTCCACATCGCCACTTCTAAGCAATCATGCTCTAAAATCAATTTTTAACGATTCTAATCTCGATCGAATTGACTTTAGTGCATCTTTCCGAAGAGAGAGTCCCAGAACCCGAAACTTGCGTATAATCTACGTCAAATCCCTTCTCGAATTCAAACATCACGATCCATCCCTTTACAACAAACACAAAATATAAAAACAAACCAAAACTAATCCAACTTTGTCGGAAACACAGTATGCGTCAGAAGGGACTGAATAATTCCAGAAATCGTTATCACGCCTCCAACAATCGAGCACAGCGTCGTATAATACTGCAAGAACCCAATTCGACTTTCCCGTTTTGTCAAGCGAATCGGTGTGATTTGGTACTTAAAATACACGCCAGGCGATGTACGACTGAAGTAGGATGGCTTATCGAGCAGCTGCGTGTACTCCGTGACGCTGTATTCATAGCTACGCGATGTACCTCCGAAAAGCGAGATGTGCTCCACAGGGATCAATTTCAGGAAGTATGTGATGTGGTTGAAATCTGCGTTCATGTTCTTTTGGTAGTTGTCGAGAGTGTTTTCGTTGTAGTTTGTATCGCCGAAGGAAAGAGTCGAGATAATGTGCGAGCAATTGAAAGCAGAAAGGTCTTCATGATCGAAAAAGTGAGAATGCTAGCTTGTGATAGTGTGGAAATGCATACACTTTGAGGGAAGAAACGACTTGTCAATCCAACATGGAAATTACCCTCTCCCTACAAATTGAGGGCCCTGAGAAACTATTACTGGATAGAGATTGAAAGTGGAGACGACTCTGCATCCAGCGGCGCTGGAATCGCGAGAAATTGGTGTTTTCGTAGTCTTTGTGACAAATCGGGAGATAAACGTACTTCGATATCTGTAGGCTGCTTAGACTTTGTAGCTTCAAAATGGAGATCGAAAGCTGACAAATCAATGAAAACAAAACAAACGAACAATCACAGGATAGTTGCAGGAAAGAAATATCGAGCTTGGTAGGAATTGCATTCTCCAACTGAGATTCTACGTTCAGTGTAGTAACTGTTTTAGGAACGAGGAAGGAGTACGTCTGCATCGATATTAGTACCACAGTTATGATAAGAGATATAATGGATACTACAGATTATGCAGGAATCACGCAAATCACTTAAACCCCCGACAGATGTTTTTACTTGCAGGCCATCAATTGCCTTCCGATATAAATCGTATCTCTTGATTCCAGAACCCATGGAAAGAGAAACTATGAAAATGGTGTTGAAAAGAAGTCGATTTTTGGATTTATTTGAATGAAACAAACATGGATTAACGAGTCTTTTCTTATTGACAACATACAATTCACTCTCAGGAAATGAAAACAACACACATAGATTATTGGTATTTTTTCACTAAGAATACAATACAAATTTATGATATTGCAGCATTTTCGCTCTCCATATTTTCTATGACACAGGCAGTTGTTTGATAGGAATAGATTCTTAGCTCCATTTCAACCATTGCTAGTGTTGCCTTCTTTTACAGTCTCAATTGTGTGATTGATAGTAATCTCCATCTAAACAATAATCCCTTCGAGCATAATTTTGCATGAAAATATATAGTTAAAGTCTATATTTGTGATCTATTCCTTGTTTACCTAGCATATAGGGAAAACCTTATTAATAATAAACTCTTTCTCTACTATCCATTTCAAGCAATAATAATTATTAGCCATGTGATTTGGCTCTTTGAATACCATTTTTGTGTCTCCTTTTCAAATTCCCTCTAAGGCTTTAATATTCACCTTTTTATTCAAGACTTAAAATAGAAAATGAATCTCAGATTATCCAAATTGCAAGAACAAACTACCCTTGTAATTCTGCCCCTATTCCTCTTCAACTGTTATTTTCCCCGTTATCAGAACGATATAAATAGACTCCTATAAAAATAAGCGATCTATTCTCTTTAAGAATGATGAAAAAGCAAACAATAACGAATCTCTTATCTCGTTTTGGAGCATTGTTCTAATTGAGCATGGTTTTAAAGGCCATTTTTCTTCTAACTCTTATTTGTGTGTGTTGCTGTGACTTTGCTCCATGTATTGCATCTCTATGTTGTATAGTATAGTAAAAAAGGGAGGTGGTGGCCATAGTGGAGGTGGCAGTCATGGAGGAGGTGGCAGACATGGTGGAAGTGGCAGACACACTTGGAGAAGTCCTTTTCACAGTTATTATTATCATCCGCCTCAACATTTCTTCTATCAGCACAGATATACGCAAGGTTTGTTTTATATTTCATATTTTAAATAGTCTGTGGATCGTATAACCTTTTAACCTATTTGTCAGGAACAAGTTTGTTTAACGATTTTCCTTCAGATCTTAGATGTCACTCATATTCTTGATATTCAGGGCTATAAAGGAAACACTCCTGACGTTCTCAAGATTAGTGATGTCTATTACATGAACAACACTAGTCCGAAATCAACCTATTTTGTATATTATGATTTAAATATTGAAAAAACGATTTCAGTATTTCATGATATCAGTATCTCCTCTCATTTCGATTTCACTTAGATTCCTTTCATGCAAATTTCACTTGCCAACCATCAACACCTATGGTAGTAGTTTCTTCTGCATTCGCCTCTTACTTCTCTTGTGTTACCCAGCCTGAAGTGAACGTTGCAGTGAACGCAAGGTTAGCACTCCAAACCTTTTCGATTCGTAGTGGCCTTTCCTGCAAAGACAAAAATGGAGCAAATCCTTTTGAAGCATACAGCTTCCAATCCCACTTGAATATTTCTCTGTCTACAACGAGTAAGCGAACATCATGAATTGAATGTTTAGAAGACAGTGCTACGCTCAACTCCGTCGTGTACCCATACATAAACAACAGAAGTGAGGGTTGTTGAAGGTCTTCAGTGTAGATTGCTTATCTCAAGAAGTCTGGCTTGTTAGTATCATCGCTATGGTGCTTGTTATCATTATCGGGATTTGTGCTGTGATTTGCTGCATTTGCAAGTCGAAGAAACGCGCAGAGAACAACGCGGAAGTGAATTCGGTTGTCACCAATCCATCTGTTGTCACCAATCCATCGATTGCACCAAACGCAATGAACGGACCCGCGGGAACTATACAGCCCGGTAGTAGTAAGCGATTGACAAAGAGAGCTAAAGGATAGTTTTCCCTTCCTATGCGACACCCAATTCGAATGTTTATCAGCCATTGCTTTGAATTGTTTTCGTATCAAACACTCGATCAACTAAAACGATTCATCCTTTTCATTTGCGTTCTTTCCTTTCATCGCTTCGTCTGTGATTCGAATGCGACTGGAAACTTCGAGAATCGACATTGTCTAGAATCAGAAATAATCAAAACGATTTGCTACTTGAAGATAATATTCTATATTCGCTTCAAATGTCGCTACAAATCCTTCCTCGAATCGAGTTCCGCCATTTTCTTTCAGAAGAATCTCGTTTTCTGCCGATGTACAATACTTTTCGTACTCGTTAAACGACGCGATTTCATCACACGAATTCCAAATGTCTCGAATCGCTTCCGAAATCTCGTTTTGCTCTTCTCTTTCTGTTTCCCTGGATTCTTCCTCGTCTTGCTTCCCTTCCAGCTTCTTTATCAAATACTTTGTAAAGAGTTTGAATGGGAAATAGTCCAAACACAGCAAACAATACGCTGCGATCAGAGTGAACAAAAAGTTCATTCGATCATTGGGCAAGCAAAACTGAGTGTGTTTGCACGAATCTACATAGAAAAACAGAAAAGCAACAAACCATATTCAAACTTCAATACTCTCTTCGATTCTCTTTTCCCATCCCAATGATCTGAATAATATATAATATACGATTTCTCCTTGTGTTTCGAAAGATTGGCGACTACGTTCTTCAGGTTCCGATGGAAATCCACATTCCATTTACTGAGGATTCGTTTCATTAAACGGAGGGTACATGGATGAAGTACACGCATTTGCTGAAGAGAGTGCGAATCCTCCTCACTCAGCAATACGTCATACAACATTCGCTTAAATTGCCTATGATAACATTCAGTAAATAGAACTACAAAACATCAAAGTCTTGGAACTCTGAACAACAAAAACCGATTTCAAGCAAGAAAAGGGCGTCGATTCGTTGTTTCATCATTATGGAACACTCGTTAAACATATAGATATTGTACTCCTCGAGAAGGGAAAGCGGCATTCCATTCATTTGCTGAATCTCCCGCATATCTTCAAGTGTCAAATCGTTGAGAGACTTTGACTGCAATTCCTTTTTCCGCATTTCTTGATAACTACTTCCATTCCTATCGTTTTCATTCTTTTGTTCTTCTCTATTTGCGGCTTCTGTTTTGATTTCATCTTCCGGAACATACTCCGGAAAGTAGGTCTCAATCAAAGGTTTGGCGTCAGCATTCAACTCCAATAGCTGTTGCAGCGACTGAACAGGGATTCGATACATATACAGCATTTGATTGTCGTTCGCACAATTCTCCTCTGCGCAAATCTACTCAACATTCCGATTCTGAACCCTTACATCCGCAATGTTTTGTAAGGCGCTTGTGAGAATCAGAGAAGACGAATACAAGGAAGGATCCTCAAACACCATCTCGATCACTTTCTTCTCTGCCAGCAATTTCATTTGATCAGCTGTCGCTGACGCAAGCAGAAGCGCTAAATCTGTCAGTACTGCCTGCTTTAACAGCGAGTTATCCTGCGAATCGCATGACATTATCGCCAAATCCACAAGCTCCGAATTCAGAATCGTCTCGTTATACTTGTCAGTACGCTCGAGAATTGCACAGAAAATCTGCCAGGCTACAGTCGCACAGTCCACTTCTCGAAACTTTATTTGGTGAATGAGAATCGTTTCCAAGTGGTTTTCCATTAAGAACTAGATCGAATTGATTTCATGGCTTTACGGAGAGAATGAGCTCTGATTCGTCGTAGAAAATGACTTCAGCGAGACGGGTGAGCGTATAAAGTGCGATGGATTGCGACGAGGAAAGACAAGTTTGAAGAACGTACTGAAGCAAGAGCTTATCGAACACTGTCTGAAGAATGAGATGGAAGCGAAAAGACAAACATCGATGGGGATGAGTAACAGAAGACTGTGATAAATGTGGTTTATGTGGAAAACAATGTTATCTGATGTCTATGGAAAAGAATAGGTGAATGGCCTACATATTGTGTGCACTTATGAAGGAGGGCAAGCAGTTTTTCAGAATAGAAATTCACGTTTCCGAATGCAACACACGACGAAAAAGAGTAGAGGCCTTGGAAAACGTAGGATTCATTGTCGATATGTTTATCGATCAACTCGATCAGCATGTCAAACAAGTTTTCCAGGTCATAATTTTGAATGTAACGACGAGCTATGTTTAAAGCCTTACCAGATTGTACTTCTCTCTGGACTCTTCAATAGGGTATTCAAAAGCTCGAGAGCGTGAATACTGTAGCATGGATCATCCATCAGAATTAATTGTTTTACCAGCTCCACACCATCATACTTCTCTACAAACACGATATCAGTAGGGTCCTTCTGGATAATGATATTAATCACTTCTAGCATCTAGTAATTACTTCAGAAAACAAGAGAAACTCCAGAAATCAGCAAAGAAGGGGTCAGCTCTGATTGTTCCCCATAAAGCTGCATTATGATTTCTTTGTACATCTGATAAAGAATATCTTGCTGGATCTCCCCATCTGACAGGAGTTGACGAATTTTGTCAATAAAGGTCTTTACAAACTCGTCCGACTGACCATCCGTTTCCCCTATCTCAATATTCGAATCTTCTGGAAGAACTAGATCCGCCATTTCATGTTCCTCTTCACTACTCTCTGCAACGAGTTCAGCACTCATTTCGTGAAGATCTCTCTTCATACTACCCTCTAGTGTCGACTGCGTTTCGAACAAAACAGATAATACGATAAAAGCTAATGAACTGATTCCTCATCCGTCACCTCTAAATGGACCTCCTCCCCCAGTTCTTGACTAGACGATTCTCCAAGCAACGCTTTGGTTGCTTCCTCCTGTCTCTGTTTCCTATTCACATCTAATCGCTCGAGCGTATAGCTCAAGGAACCTCCCACCACAAGCAAAATACCGAAAAACCCTTTCAGTGTGATGGTGGTATGATAAAAATAAGCCCCCATGAACGTCTTCCCTGAAGCCCATCATGCATGTCTACCTGAATGCAGTTCTTCATCACTCCGGAAATATTATGCGACAAACTGCTCGTGTATTGGATCTGCAGATACGTCGTGATGCCCACCATCAGTCCGATGATTCCAGCTACATCCCAGCCACGCTTCTCTCCTACACACGAAGATCCAGAAGAAAAACGAGAACGTCAGCTCGCTGCGATGCTCCCAGACGACGGGCACTTCGCCGAACGCCTACTTCGAAGCACACAGCGGAGCGTACCACGCAGAGCGCAGGGAGAATCACACAGCTGTTGAAGTTCGTGTAGAACGTGAGCAGCCAGCTGTTGTCCACCACGTTCGATAGATAACGCTTCAGGTAGATCGTGTAGAAGGTTCCGACCGCGCTGGCGCCAACGCCGAAGAGCGTGCCGCGGAGAGAGAAATTGATCTCGCCATCGACACCTGCGGTGTAGCTGGGTGGAAGGGGAGATAGAGGACTACCCAATTACGACGGTGATGCAGGAGAGGACGGTTCGGAGAGAGGACTTCTCGCCAAAAAGAAGGTAGCTGGAAATGACAGCGAAAATACTTAGAAAAAACTTGATTAAAGGAATCATGGGAATTCCAAGAGAACGAGAAATCTGGTAAAAAGAAACTTCCACGTATTTGAGACAGAGATTACTCATTGTCACCATCAAACAGAACAGAATGGACAACGGAAATACCCTCCTTGCCAGCGAAGGGGAAAAACTAGAAAATGAAGCGAGTTTGGCAAACTCACTGGATATCGGGAAACCCAGATGATAGTCGCAACTTTTTGTTGACCTTCGAGAAAGAATAGAGTGTAGCTGTAGGCGCAATAAATTGTACGAACGTGATAAAATAGGGAGCATCAAAACTCTTCTTTAAATTTGTGTATACAAATCTATAAAATAATGAAGAAAGATACAACACAGAATTACTTGTTCATGAAGATCGCTGCCCACGAAGTACACCAATACAAAGCGATTACTCCTACGACCTTGTAGAGTGGAACTTGCTTTTCTGGCATGATAGAAACGAGTTAATATTTGGAAACAAAAATACAATACATTCTACTCATTAGATCCCATATTAAAATAGTGCTTTTTCTTTAGAATCGTAACTTATCTGAGGTTTTAAACGAATCTGGGGAAAGTATGAAGAGAGATTTTACTCATTAGATAGAAATGTCCGTGACTTCTGATCCCGCAAACATGGAGATTGAATCACTCAAAGCCATTTACCAAGACGAGCTTTGCATTTTAAAAAACGAAAATGGCATGAAAGTGATCACCATGTGGATTCCTGCGGAGTTTTCACGTAAATCACAAGTATACACAAAACTAAAAATCAGCATACCTTCCAAATATCCATCTGTCAAGTTTCTTTTACCATTTCTGATTGTTCTCTAGACCCATTATTGAAATATTGGATTCATCTGGAATTACGCCAGATAACGTACTAGTGCGATAACGAGCTTTATTGTAGGTAAAAGAGCTGAATGAGCTAATTGAGAAGAAGTGTACAGAATTGTTGGCAAATAAAGACATTATTCTATTTGATATTATCACGATTGTTCAAAAGTATCTCCAAACACATAACAAGGAGGAAGTATCGGTTCTCAAACTTGTGTTAAACTCTAGAGTGACATAGCGAGGATGTTAAACGAAAGTCCTTTGCTGCGAATTGACAGCAATTATTCCAGTGGTGACAGGGATCACTACAATTCGCTAGAGGCTCTGCGTGATGTTTTTTCTTCACGATCCGCGATCACTATTAGGATTTTGACTTCATTCGAGAACCCAAATTACAGTACCACAATTCCGGATGTTTTTCTCTTACTCTTTTCTTGACTCTTAGGGTTTTTCGGTTCTTCAACGAAGCGAAACAACAAAAACGAAGACATGACCGATATGCGAACATGCCGCGTTACTCAGAATCCTTCCCATTCTTTCTCACCCCCGAATAAAATCGAAGAGCAGATTCCCGAGATGACATCCGAGGAATTGACGAGCGGAAAGACTGTAAAATTGCGCGATCGCGATGTTTTGGAGTCTGCAATGGGTCGATTCAAGACGGATTTCGTCGTTATAAAAGAGATCGGACACGGCGGATTCGGTCGAATTACGCTGTGCACACACCGACTGGATGGAATGAAATACGCCGTAGGGATTGAAAGCGATGTGTGTCGCAGATTAAGGAGATCAATCTGGAAGACAACAGGCAGGAGTATCAGAAAATCTTGCGCGAAGTGAAGCTGCTGGCGCTGCTGAAGACGAACTACACGGTTCGTTATTACAGCGTTGGAAAGAGAGGAGCGTTGAATTGTAGTGCTGGACCGAGCGGAATGAATGCGTGGAAGCGGAGAATCTGGGTCATACCGATCCGAATGAACTGGAAGAGGAGGAAGAAGAAGAAGATCTGATCGATGAAACGACGATGACTTGGGGAAAGGAATCGTTTCGCTTGAGTAAAATGCGGAACAAGGGGATGAAGGAGTACAATGAGCTGCATCCGCTGGTTTTTGATTCTGTGAGAAAGGAGGGAGCGATTGAGGAATAGAATCCGATACAGATCGAGTTTCGGGGCAATGATCGGTTGAATCAAATCGCAGAAGATGCGTTTGATTTTGGACCTGAATCTGAATCTAGATTAGAATCAGAATCAGAATCAGAATCAGAATCTGTATCGTATGAGAAATCGAAATCGAATCGTTTTGGTGAAACATCGGATTCTGATTCTGATTCTGATTCTAATCCAGATTCAGATTATTATTCCTCCTATTCAGATGAATCTTTGAGTTCAACAAGTTCTGACAGCAATTCTTCCCCTTCTTCCACTGCGAATTCTTCCTCAGCAATCGTTCAACAATCGAATCGATTTTCGGCTTTGGAACTCTCTGATTCTCTTTCAATTCCAACTCGCAGTACAACCGCTGGATTATCGCCTCAAGCCAATTGCGACCAATCCGATACTCACATGTCTGTCAAGCTCTACATCCAGATGGAATACTATAAGAACGGCACATTGGATGACTTGATTCAGAGTGGAAAGGTTTCTATTGTCTGGATTTCGACTGAATCGTAGCTGTATCAGGATCTCAGTCGTATCTGGTCGATTCTATTCAACGTTTTTTTCCATCATTTGTCTTAACGAATAGCTTCTGAACGGTCTGAAAGAAGTGCATGCGTTGATCTTTTCATTTGCTTTTGATGTGTAGCAATGGAATTGTTCATCGCGATTTGAAGCCTTCCAATATCTTCTTTGACGATAATGGAGCGGCGCTGATCGGCGATTTTGGACTTGGCTATTTTGTAGGGAAGGAAGTCTCGACTTCGACGGATGGAATCGAAAACAATGAGAATTACACCACAGCGATCGGGACGATTTTGTACGCGCCTCCCGAGCAATTGGCGAACAATCAAAGCTTCAGTGCTCATTCCAAAATTAGCACGCGAATTACCACAAAGGTCGTTTTGATTGCGTGAATCGATTGGTAGTCAGACATGTTTTGTGTCGGTTTGATTCTCTACGAAATGCTCCTCCCTCCCATGCCGACTGCGTTAGAACGCTATAAGGTATTTCAGGAAGCTCGCGTATTGGCTGTTTCTGCGCTTGTTTCTCGTAGGCTGGACGTTTACGACCCGAAATCAAGGATTCGTACCGAATGATTATTCTGCATTGTTTAGAAGTACTCATTTCTTTTGCTGTTTCAAAGTAGGAAAATCCAAAGAACCGACCTTCCGCCCAAGAATTGATCGATATGATTCTCAGCGATGATTCGATCGTGAATAAGAAGAACTTAGAGGAATTGATGTTGTGCTTGTCCAAACCGAACGTACTCTCAAGAAGGATTGGGTTGATCGTAGAATTCCATTTTTATGACTGTTACAAACACGCTGATGGAGCGAGTAGAACAAATTCGAATTGATTGAGAATAGGATTTATTAGAGATGGAGTTAAGCCTTTTCTATCCTGAGTTGATCAACGGTAATCTGAATTCCAGTCATGTGTATGACCTGTTTTGTAAACAAACGGAGAAGGTATTATACTTTACTTTGCTTTACTTTCAAATAGCATTTCATTCGAGAAGATGTAGAGAAATGTCTGGTTGATGTGATAAATCTGTTTGGATATTATCCTCTCGATTCTCCTCTTTTGCTTCCCAAATCGGATTATTTACGTTACCTGTTTCTTTTGCTTTTATTTTGTTGATGGAATTTAGATATCCGAATGGCGTTTCCTTACTGAATAAAAAAGGAATTCCTTGTTTGCTTCGCAGCGATCTACGAAGCAGCTTTCTCTCCTACTATTCTCGAATGATAAACACGCAAATCCGTCAATATGAAATTGATACCGTTACACGTACAAAAAGTAGTGACGAACGAGATCTTGTGACGCAACATGCATGCAGCATTGACAATATTTGGCTTCAACGGTATTCGTTCATTGCTCGTTTCACTTCAGACAAGATGATACCACATTGAGCGTGTTGTATTCTTGCGAAGCTGTGATGATGTGCTGCCATATTCTAAACCTGTTTTCCCATTTATTGTCTCATACTTTGGTTCTGCATATTAATCATGTTGGAGTGGGGATTTTCTATGTGCTTCGATTGCGTAGATTATTTCGACGATTCTCGAAATCTACGGCTTCGTCAGCATGACATCGAAGAAACAAGCCATCGAAGAGTTACGAGGCGTTGTGGCCTTCCAACTGGCTTCCATGACGAATTCACATAGCAAGGGAATTTATGTTTTGATGATGCGTAGAGAATTTGGTTGAATCGACAAAAAGCAGCAGCACGATTATGTAGATTTGAAAGGGAAATGTGAGATAGAAACAAGCAAATCGCGGATATTCTGAATATCAGCCAGGATGAAGCGGCCTACGTGTATCCGTTCCTCGTCCTTCCGATCAAACCAAACGAATGGATGGTCGTAGGATTGCACATCCGATCGATTGATGGCTGTAGGATATGGAGAAGGCACTAACAGAACTGATTCAGTACAAGGGAGAAAACATGAAGCTGGACGATCAGTCGTTTTTGTGGAATTGTCTGGAGGAAATGAAGAGTTTTGTCGCGATGTTGAACCAGGTAAACTCGATCGATTGGCTTCATTCAAGTATTCGTTTCTGGAAACAACAGATCGAATTGTGTTTGATACGCTTTTGCTGCCTCAAGGAAACGATCAGAATTATCACTTGTACTATGCCTGCATTTTCACCAGCCATTTGTCTCTTCAAATTGCCTCTTCGAGCAACAGCAAAGCGAAAAAGCAGAAAGGAACAAATCGTTTCGTTCTCCCCATTAAAAAACCTCAAACGATCGATTTTGTTCTTCTTTATGTTGGGATCCCACAGTTTGATTATCGATAGGGCGGTCGATTCGATCGTGAACTCTGCAAATACAAAGTGGGATCACTGAATCCATTTTTGCTTCCAAAGGATTCGTTGTATTCTGCCGGTGTGCGATTGGATTTGGATTGAATTCATAGGAATGTTCAATATTACTATTCCTCTCAATAATATCGTTTCGTTGCTCGTTCATCACCCGGATTACGTACCTTTTATTCGTTTGTTTCAAGGAAGAAAAAAGCGATTAAGAAGTTCTCCCCTCCATCCAACGACGTTTCGATTCTCGTTTTGCCGCCTAGCGGATTCGCCAACTCTCTAGTCGATCTTCAAATCGCTGATATGTGCTGGAAAAACTCATTCAAAGTACGCTAAGCGTTGGGATCATCACGAGTGCACATGGTGGAACGCGACGCAGAACTCGAAGTCGCAGTCGTACATCGATTACTGTCAAGATCACCACATCAACTACATCATTCAGCACTCGGGATCGATCGAAGTCGCGGCGATTGACTCGCTGAATTGTAGAATGGGACGCTGTACAAAGTGGGTAAGCGGAAAAAAACGGCGGTCGGACCGATCAGAATGCTGCTGAAGGCGATTTTCGACATGGAATCAAGCGGAGAAAACGAGGCTTCGACCTCTCGAAGTCGCAACTCGATCCATAA